AAAGAATCATTGGCAGGCGTCTAGGATGGTCGAAAGCGAAGTTGTGGCCTTTTGAAACGGTTTATGTTAAAAGCAAATTACAAAACAAAGCCCAGAAACCAGTCTCTGGTATCGTCCATCTTGCAAACACAGCGTTTCTCTTCATGAGGTCGAAACATTGTGGTAGCGCACGCTCTCGTGGTTTCGATCAGATCATTTGGTGTTTGGGCAAGCTGGGTCTTGGCAATTCTTCTAGCCAATCGACCAAAACACTGATCTACATCTTCATGGGAATGCCCACATCGTAGGAACCGAAATGACAGGCTCCTCAGATTCTTCGACGCCACCTGCGCGGCTGCCCATCTGAGACAGTGGTTGTTTTTGATTTCTCTGCAAGTGTTGTCGGCGTGCACTACCAAACAAAAGTCTGGTAGGTGCACGCCGAACTCTTCCTTGAGCAACTGCATTGTATGTCCCAAGGTTTCTACGCTTGCATTGCTGTCCTTTTGACAATCCGGGTTGCTTATGCTCCACAACATCAAATAACCATGTACCAAAGTCAAGCTGACGTGGAACTTCGGCTTCTGAAACATGTGCAGCTCCTTGCCACGCATCACGGCTGAACGTGGCAGGCTGCACTTCGCCTGATCCATGCCATCCTGTATCAAAACTATGGTTTTCTGGTCCTTGTGCCTCGACAAAGACCTGGCTTTGTAATAGCAAAGCCGGTCCTGATACTGATCTCTCAAATGTTCAAAATAATATCTTTGTTGGTCACGCCGGGCGTGTAGATGATGTCCGAGCTTTTTGATCATGTGTCTGTGCCTCAGGCACACAGAGCACTCAGCATGACTGCTGCTGGCACGAATCTGCAAAGCATTGAAGTCGCTGAGCCATACCTCGATGTGAAACGCCCAAACTGACTGTTACAACGCCCAAACTATGAGCTACTGCATTCAAACGAGCGCGCAAACAACCCTCAACTTCCTGAGTAAATCTGAGCAACCCTCCAGAACGAGGGAAAACTGCCAGGCTTGGAGAGCGACGATTGAAGAACGTACTGGTCGTAATATTCTTTCATCGACCCCGGCGGCAGATACCGGGGTTCCATGTCACCCCGGCTTTGATTGATGACAACTTGCCTCTTTGTCTTCCTCGGCCTTCTCAAGGCGGGCTTCAAGTCAGAATCCACATGTTCACACTTGGAATGCAGCTGCTCAGTATACGGGTCTGCCACACTCACCTGGACAGCGCTTGTTGATCCAAGCTCATCTTTGAAATCTGGCAACGTTTCCGCCACTCCTTCGTACAAGTACTCCAAAAAACTGCAGATATCGCCTCTCACATGCGCTTGGTCACTAGAAGCGATCCTGCTAGTTTGACCCGTCAAATAGCGTAGGTCTACTGGCGCCGCAGGCTCGTCATCTCGGGCAGCTTTCCAAAGTTTGCCAAAACGACCAGAACCTCATTGGAAAAAACTCCATGCACGGATTACTTTTGGTGAGAAACTGCGCGCCCCAGACACACCTTTAACCACATAGCCCCTCACAGTATGACAATGAGTAAACAAGAGAAGCCTAAATGCCTTTTTTGCAATATTTGTCCAGTTGAAACGTATAAGTTTAGTCAACGGGCCCATACAATGAAGCACTTGCCAAGCTCGGCGGCAAACGTCTACGCCTAGAACAGACCAGCTGGTGTAAGCGTCATCTCCAGCCTCCGCAACCAGCTGCTTCATTCGTCCGAAAGCCTCACAGTCAGACACTCCACACCCTGCCTTTCACTTAATGACCAACCACTCAAGAAAGCAATGAACAAATCAGAGATCGAAAAAGGAAAAAAGCTGAACGTTGAAACAAGGGACTATATTGTCTTTGTCCAACTTTGACAAGCTCATCCATTCTGTCAAATAAGCTTTGAATCCCGTAAACAGTGGTTCTTCTGCGAACTGCTTCAAACACGATTTCTTGCATGGACATTCACTGCAAAGCCTTTTCTTCATATCATCGTCGGTCAGGCCCCTGAAATCTGGCTCGGCTGACTGTTTCCGACGCCGCTTCCGGGGTTGGGCGATATCTCTTGATGAACAAGCAGGCTCACAATCGTCATCACTCAAAACCGCGACTTCTTTGAACACCATCCCAAGCGACTACACGCCTGGACGACTTTCACTGAGCTCCAAGACAGCCCTGGGAACCATCCCAAACGACATGTACGGGCGCGGCATCGCAAAACATGAATATGAACCACCTGGCTGGTTTCTTTGAACCACAGCTACAGATTATCCCCAAGCCCGATGACCAGTCCAAAAGAGATGGGAACACTGCAATCATTGCGGCATCATTACATACAAGGAAATTAGTGATTTCACGGTGCGTCTAAAGACACTTATTATTTTTCCATAACCCATCAATGAAACAAAGTGCAAAGAAAGGCTTGCTCGCCGCGCAAGCTCCCTGCAAAGCGCTGCTATGATAATCTTTCCTGTGCGGCACTATCCACGTCCCTGTTGAACAAAACTTGACAACTCACAACCTGTAATTGAGTTGCAAAGGCCCACGGCAATCTAAGGATGCCTCACCGCTTCACCCAGAAAGCATGTTCTTGTTTCGGTCCATCCCAAGACCATGAATGACGTCCTTGGAGGCGTCCAAGGAAAGAGCTTCACCCTCTCCAGAGCCTAGGCAAAGATGCAAGGCACGTGCACTGTGATTGACGTCAGTTTTCCTCCCCTTGGCCATGACAATCGGACCCCCCAACTACCCCGCAAATGGCTAAAAACCTCAAGGGTCAGACTCGGCTGGCTTTCCAAAACGATTGAAACAGGAAACCACGCTCCAACTCCCGCAATCCACGAATGAGGGCAGAGTATTTCACTGCAGGAATTCGAATCACAGGCATCGATGTGACGGCCGTTGCGCAAGGAATTGGTTCTGGCGAGTCCTCCCCCTTCAACTCTGCGCTCGGCACGAGCGCAATCGTTTGCCAGGAAGTGCTGAAGAAGTCGCACGCAACAGCGCACGCATGGACACTTGAATCTTCTGGAAATAGTCGATCGAGTCCAGTGACAGGAAACATAACAGCGTTGCGAAAGAGAATCCTTATAAGTCGTGTCATTCTCTGAGGGCTTCATCTACTGGCTATTACTCAAGAATGTCTTTCACAGTATGGGTTCAAAACGGTGTAGAAGGTTAGACAAATTTGAAACCAAAGATCACAGCTTTCTGCGTCGCCTTGTCGTCAGCAGTGAGATAGCAACAGCGATGCTCACCCATAGATCCTGGCGAGCGCTACCAACAGCGCAGACGGGAGGCCACAACACTGGGAGGACGTAACATTTTTTTGGCGTCTCACTCGGGGCCCCAAATCGGTGTTCATCTGAGCCCCTGTTCATCTGAGCCCCCCAATCGGTGTTCATCCAAATCGGTCCTGTGCATCTCGCACTTGGATCTTACAAACGTTCTGTTATTTGTTTCACATTTAACGCAATGTTACTAAAAGCTGGCAACTTGGAAGGCCGTGCACTTCTATTCTTTTCCAGCAGCTGTGTCCGCTACGTTGCCAAGTTGGCGTGGTAAAACCTAGGGGTCAGATGCCTCTACATGGTCTAGCCTCCTCGAATTGCAAATCAGAAACCTTTTGTTGAAGTGCCTTCGCAAAAGAGTTCATCGCACACACCACTCGGATTCTCTCAGGGCACAAGCGATTGATTTCAGATCCGAACTTGATGGCGCCCTCCAAAAGTCGCTCATGTTCGATGCCATCGTCCACAGTTAGCCAAGCACGCCAATGGGACAAAGCCTCCAAGACATCTTCCAACTCACTGGTGAGGTCCTCGATGAAACCGTCCAAATTGCCCGAGCTCATATCAACCTTTACCGAGCAAAAGCCCAGCGCACGCGCTCCGGTCTCACACGTCAATCTCTGCGCTGCCTCCACCAGAAAGCTCCGCGCGATTGGGATTCGTTCATTCAAGTTCTCTGGCAAGAACGTCGCCCAGGCTTGCCAAGCTGCCAGCCATGACAAAACCATACACACCAACGAAGAAGTTGGAAACGAGTTCACTGAGTCGTAGCACACGTTCACCAAGCTCACCACACCAGGAGATGACATTGGAGCTATCGACCAAACAACTCCTAACTCTAAACAAACCTTGACCCTTGAAAACCTGCAGGCAATGTCCACGTGAATGGGATGACAACCTGTTCTCTTCTTCCCTCAACGCAGCAACCTGCCAAAAACAACAGTCCTTCACGCACTGATTGAAACCTCATGACCATCACGTCAAGGCCGTCAAAGTACTCCAAGGTTTTGGCGTCCTGCAAGAAATACAATGAGCTTCAAAAGACGTTTTGAAAGAAGATAAGCAATTTCCACTTGGTTTGGGTTTCGTTTTACAATAATAGCCAGCGGTGAATGGAACATTGGGACTTGGCACTAACGGGCCTGCAAGACATGAGCGTCCAGAACGCGAAAGCCCCCGTGTTCGTCACAGTCCGGGTCTGGCGCGCACAAAACTTTAAAAAACCAGGCCCCAAAGAAAGGAAGAAACACAACAAGAAACAACGCGCAAGACCCAATCGGCCTGCAGCAGTACCAGTTGCCGTTGGAATCGGCTTCGGAGCACGTGTGCAAGCCATGTAGCACACCACTAGCACCCTGCCTTCGACTGAACTGTGCTTCCTTGTGCTTCCTTGAACAAAAAGAAGCTACTTAGAGCAGCTGATGCCCCTTCCAAGGTTCCATTGAAACGAATGAAGCACCATTCTCTTGTCCATGGGAAAAAAGTATGTAAAGACTCAAGTGGCTTCAAGATCATTGTTCTGGCAAGTGCATACGACATCCAAGTGGCTTACAAGCCATCTTCCAATTGAATTTAACTGCAATAAAAGTCAATTTCGCTTGTGAACGCAGGGGCCTCACTTTGCAAACAAGATTGGCTAGTATGAGATGTTGCAGTCTTCACTTCGTGCAAAATCTTCACTTCGTGACCCACCCGCGCACAAACTTGCCATGGGAAATCAGCGCGCGGCACTCATGCGCAAAAGAAGTGACATTCCAAGCGTTCCACACGCGGGAACAACGACGTTGCCTAGGGTCTTCAACCTCTCACGATCGTGCTCCTGCGTGGCACAGCTCAGCCACTGGCTCATTGGCAACTTGTTCCAATGGTTCCAATCTACTTGGAGGAGCTCTGACAAAGGCCTGAGCTCTGCCTGGCACGACATGCGTTCACTTCTTAGCAAGCGTGGGCCAATTGACAACTGTTGAAAAGTTTCAACTGTCTTCCATCATTTTGACAAACTGTCCTTCAGAAGTGGGCAAAGAAGAATACTCGCCCGCGGAAAGCCTGAAGGGTACAGAAGTTGAGAACCACAAAGGGCCTCTCAACCCACACACACACACTGTGACACACAACTCAGTCGATTGCGCTTCCATGTTTGGAACTGAACTAAGCCTTTCACCGCCAAGCCAACCTGATCCAGGCAGGTTGATGCCCAATGCAAGGTAAGTCCACGTGACTTGCACGCCTGGCCAAAAAAGTTTGTATTGCGCAGGAGGCTGACATGACTTATATAACTTACATACTTAGCAGGACAGGAATGACATAGTAAGAGCTAAAGGTGCGCTTTTCAGGCAGACAAAAACACCTCTTACAAACCAACAAAGTATCAGCCATCAACACAGTTATCTACTCGCAACCACCACACGCCTTGACCATGAACAGGATAATCTCGCGCATCTCGGACTTGCGGTGCAAAATGCTGGCAACATTCTCCAAAACCATGAACTCCCTGGCCAGGTGGAACAATCTGACTGCACACCCTATACCTCTGTCAGTAAACATTAAGAAGCAAGTTGAGACCTTGCCTGCGGTCTGCTGGCAAGCTATCATAAATGCGGAACACATGGGACAGAAGCCCCGTGCGTGCGTCGGACAAGCCGAGTTGCTTGCCCGCAGTCGACACGCCCTGACAAGCGAATGAACATCGAAAAGACCATACATGCAAGAAAATGGAATCAGCCTGGCATGGGAAGCCCCCTGCAACGCCGGCCGCTGGGAGGTCACCGCCGTGAAAATCTTGAACGTCTGGAAAAACCGGGCCATGGTGGAGCAAGCCCTCGGACATGCGAAGCTTCAGGATGCTTTGGCAAAAGCCGTCGCATTCGACCTGAGACCATGTTGCAAAAAGTGGGTAGTCAAGCTTACCTGGCTAACCTAAGGCCGATGCATAGGCCACTGGATAAATCCACCTTGAATGCATCAGGCTTCAACGCGAAGGATTGCGAAAGAATGGCTATAGCACCGCTGGGAAAAATTGCGATGATTGCGCCATTGAGAAAAAGATTGAGAAAAAGAATGGCACACGCACCTGTCTAAACAATGGCTTCAGTTGCTTGCCACGCGCGCCACACGCGCACAAAAACTTTTCACGGCTCTGCCCGCTGCCGTTTGGCATGCTTGCTCGTCTGCTCCGAAGGCCCACCGGACTCCACAACTGCTGCGCCCACCTGACATTCGCAAAACCATTGCGGTGACTTGTCATGGGGGAGGTGAAGCGTCGCCTTCGTCAGCGCTTGCGTTTGACAAGAGCTGGCTTGTTCTTGATGTCCAGCTTGCAGCCACTCTTTGCGTTCCCAAGACCAAATCCACCTCACTGAGCTGGCATCAAGAACGAGCATGCGCAACACTCACATGGCATAACCCGCGAGACCAATTGAGGAATCAAGGAGCAGCTCACCGTGCCAGGAACACTCGATCGGCGTGCCCCATGGAAGCCTGCGACCAAGGCCGGTATCTATGATAAGAACATTGGCCCACGCTGGTTCTACCAAATTCCTTTTCCAAACCTGCCTGATTTGATTGATGCCAACACATCGCACAGCAGCCCATGACTCTTTCCCGGTCCCAGGCTGACGCTCGACCATGAGAGTAACCAGTCAGAAGCTGGCAAGAATGACAAGTTTCAATACGAAGCTTCTGCATGAACGTTGGAGCAGTGTTGCGCGTTCAGTAGTATGTGAAAGGGCTGCGAGTCAAGTTTGCAAGATCTCAATCCAATCCATCTGAAGCTAAATTACATGAACAAAGACTCCTTCTTTGAGGTCCGTGCTTTGCAAGGGCTAAGTCCAGCCCCCCGATTCCGCTGAAGAGCGAAATGTATGGATATTTCCCAGCCTGACATTGAGAATGCTCGAATTTCCCAGTTAAGAAAAGTAAGAACAACTTGCAATACAATGCTCACTCACCTGGCCACGTGCGCCCGGGAACATTTGGTCAAAGACCCACGCGTCCACGCAATTCGCCAAGGGCTTCGTCCAGTTCAAAGGCAGTCCTCACGCCAAAAGCCATCTGACAGCTGCAACCCCAGAAACAACCGGTGGAAGCTGGCGACCAAGGCAAGGAAACCACACTAAATAAACTCGTGCCCCAAAAGCCTGAACGCAAACCTCACAATCAATCAATCCTGAAAAGAACTCGGCTGTGTTCGGCGTCACATACTTCCCAACAGCAACTGCATCCCGTTTCACAGCCTCCCTGTACTCAACGGAACAGCGGATCTGGTTGGCGAAGTCCTGGAACAAGGTCAAGGTACTGGTATCTGAAGCCCTGATTCTATAAAGTCTCGCAAAGTGCAACTATCAACAGGTCGCTCCATCACAAATCCGAGGCGCAGACTGAAATGGCCCTGCGTGACACATCACCAGCTGAAGCCGTTGTCGTACCGGAAAAACACCCTGAGAAAAGCAAACGAAGGATCTTTCCCGCAAGATTTTTCTACAACATATTGAGCCTACGAATAGAGTGCAAAGAGGAGCGCACCAAACGAAGTGGAGTTTTGGCGTCTCACCAAACTCAAAAATTTCGCGGACATGCGGTTGAGAGAAATCCCAATTGAAATGACTATACCGAGAACCAGGCTTATGCATGACCGTTTGGCAAAGGTCTTGGAGCCCTTGAAAACCTGCGCACCGTTCTTCTTGGTCTTCTTCCGGGACTTGCATACCTCGCGCCGCTGTCAACAAAAACCATTTACCGCACGTGTTGGGTTTGTTCTTAAACATGAAACAGAATTAGAGCCGAACAACACCCTTCGAAAACTTGGCGTCTGACCACTTGCAAACTCAACGGCTTTGCCGTTGGCAGCTTGAAAGTTGAAAGCCGCAACGTTGACCCATCCACACAAGATGCATACTTGGGTAGAATGCGACCCTCATAAGTCTTGATGCTTTCCTTCTGGATGGCGCGTGTCACTGCCTGGAGGAACATTGTGGTCAACGGCCAATGGCAACACAAAACAAACACTGGGCCTTCGTTGGCTTCTTTGACGATGGCCGCTTCATGATTTCTCCTTCTGTCTCAGACCTCAATATCTTATAACAAACCGAAATATATCTGACGATGGCCCCGACAAGAAACCCAAATCGTATAGCGCCCACACATTTGAGCGCTGTGCCCACTCAGCTCTTCAACGGCGCGGAAGGTCATCTTCACGCTTTGAGCAAAACCCAGGTGTGCCGGCCAGACTTAGACTCTCAGCGTTGTCTTGCCAGCGCACTGTTGACAGTGACAAACGTCGAGTACATGTCAAACTGTCACACTCCAAAATTATTACAACACATTAATCCCGTGATCTTCCGGCGCCTGTGGGGTTTGGATGGGGTTGGTCGTGTCTTGCAAAACGATATTGATCCGCAGGGCGTGCTGCTATGAAGAGAACTGTTTCATCACTAGCTTGGGGCGCTCTCTCTCAAGTGTTTGATACCTGTACACAAACGGCGGGCAGTGCACTCGACGATAAAATACCCGTGTGAACGCATTGTCCAGCAATGATGGTGTTTTTCAAAACAAAAAACAAAAAACAAATTTCCACCCAAACAATTTCCACAGCCGAGCAATCAGCAACAGGCAGCTCTGGTCAATGGCCAAGCTTCTCCTCAAACAATTTGTACACCCCTCCGGGCAATCAGCAACAGGCGTCCGTGGTCACTGGCCCAGAGCTACATGGCAACTCAAAAAGAAGTAAACACGGAACAGCCGAAACTATAAGCACCAAATGTGGCCAGGCACCGATTGCAGTGAAATATCCTTTACATTGGAAGTAGGGCTTTCTTGGATTGCACTGCTTTTAAGAGGCTCGCCAAAATGCCAGGAAGGCACAAATGGCGAGGAGTCTATGCTGCAGAAAACGCTTTCGCCATTTGTCCTGCTATGAGATGGCCACCCTGGCTGCATATGATCCCGGACATGGGATATACCCCTGGCCTTGGATGAAGACAAGCCTTTCGGGTCACAGCTCTCGCGGTCTCACAGTCACTCATTAAGAGTCTGGGCGCACGCCTTAGCGCGAGTCCAGTGTAGGCCAGAAGCCATACCAGGCCAAATTCCATAATAGAGCTGAGGAGCATCGCAAAACAAGCCTTCCCTCAGAGTACCCTTCCATAGGAGGTTTCCATCCCTGCTTAGCATGGCGCTATGCGCTCTTGCAGGCAGCACGCACTTTCGAGCAAGGTGCAAGTAAGGAAAAACAACACATGGCGAAGGACATGGGTATTTGACAAAGGTGGGCAACCCGTCTAGTCCAGGCAGCGCCGAGAGCTGTCGGCAGATGCCAGTGATCAAAGGGGAGAAGACTCTCCAGACCTGCAAAGACCAGCAATGTGTTCGCAGCGGGAATGGTGGATAAGCACACCGCCAGCAAGTTACGGCAAGTGAGATGCGCAAACACTAAGTAGGATCACCGACCTCTTTTCGCCATTCGCGACACAGTGAGCCAATAGGAATGAGAGCCTTAGCTCCTCGTTCCTAACAGGCGGGTGGTAGAGAGTGGCAATGGAGGATGCCCAGGGGAACCTTAGTTCCCTCTGTTGACGTCCGACATTTCCAATTTTGTACAAAGAGGTACAGATACCATGCTAGGATAGTCCAAAGTTTCACCTGTTTCACACGGGCCGTGCACGCAGCAGATCACTTTTTGCAATGACGCAGCACATGCCTCCGGACTTGTAAGCGCAACCAGTTGCGTGGGTTGCGCTGCAAGAAAGGTTTTTTCCACGGCATGCAGCATAGCTACCACCGCTCCATTTTGACATGGATGCAACCGGCGTTGGAGCATTGCGATACTCCTGACCTGCATCGTGACCATGGTTTTGCCACACCGTGGTGTGGCCGCTGGTCACTCGTAATCAAAAAGTAAAGTCCATTTGAAGCCTTTTTGGAGACTTTGCTAGAGCACAAACCTGCGCTGCCATGCTCTTCGTTCGAGAATTCAGGCCCATTGATAGTCACTAGTTTTCGTTTCACTTGTTTCACCTAGCACAGAGGAAAGACTACAAGATGGTGGAGACTCGGCCTGTGGGCTGTGGTTTGCTTGTTTTTGGTTTGTTTTGGTTGTCTTTGTTCTTTTCTCCACCATCTGACTGTTCTTCCCTTCCTTCAACGATGACCTGGGCAGGAGCCTCAGCACGTCAGTGCAGTCCACCCGTGTGGAAGGCACCTTGAGTTGTGATAACCGCAACATTGAGCCTTAGGCATCACGCGGTAATAATCTTATCCCACCTGCATCACCTCGGCAGCCAACCCGTGTTGGAGGCCGCCCCCATCAGTCCGTGAGCACGTCTAATTACTGACAACATGGCATATACTGACGATCCATGGGCAGTAAGTGACAATGACGAGGACGTTGCCATGGTAGGGGGAACCCTGGACATCATGGGTGAGTCGGAGGATCCGTACTGTTCCCCCCCTACACTCCAGTCCAGGGTGGATCACCCAACAAAAGAGACAGGCCTTTTTCCCGAAAGCACCTGCGAAGGGTTTTTCCTTAAGCACTGCTGCCTATTTCATCTTCCTTAATCTCTTTCTCTTACTTCATCTTCCCCACTCTCTCTTCCTTACTCTCTTTCTCTTACTTCATCTTCCCCACTCTCTCTTCCTGACTCTCTTTATCCTACTTCACCTTCCTTACTTCATATTCTTTACTAACTTTCTCCTACTTCACCCTCACAACATCATCATCTAATCATCACCTCATAGGTTATTAATCTCATATCATATCATATTATATCATATCAGGTTATAATATCATATCACATCACATCAATGTCATAACATATCATATCATATCAT